GGAAGAAGGGGCTGTATATAGGAACAAAGAAGGGCTGCGAAAATGGGATTGGGGGATGGAACAGTGTTTATGGTTTATGTGGGATGGAGGAATTTCTGGATGGAATAGGATATAGGGTTTATGATGGCTGCAAACATTTATGGGTAACGGCCGGAAGTATGGCACGATAGATAGAAGACGTGAAGAAGGGTGGGTAATGAATCGAAGTTAGGGTTTATGGGGGTTTAAGGGTTTTGGTAAAGCTATTACCATGGGGGATAAAGAGGAGCTCTTCCATTGAGAGAATTTTTTCGAGCTGCTCGTTTCAGATATACGTGAATGTTGGTCGTGCACACAGAGATCTCCCTTTGGTTCTGGCTCTATCTAGGTGGGCACGTGATCTCCTTGCTGTCCGGGCAACAATGATCTCTCTCTCTCCCTATACGGGCATTTAAATTGCAAACATGAAACAATTTTTATTTGCGAATATAGAAAGCAATTTATTAATGTCGGCGTCAATGTGAACTTACATAGAATACGTAACTGTTAACCCCCAAAAATGTCCAAGTGTTTTTGACTAGCAACTTCATCGATAGCTTTGGACAAAAATAAAACTTCATCGATAGAAGCCACTGAAATTGACAACAGGAGCAGAAGATTACTAAGTGTCGGGAGCACTTAATCGATAAAATACAGTCGGTCAACAAAAAGGCTTAATTTTGATCGACAGAGATGTCAACGAACGGCGGCTAAGTGCTGCAGTGAAGAGTCAACGAGTAAAGTACACCAACTTGTTCTGACGGGGAGGAATACAAGATGTAATTGTCAAGTAGTGGAGTCGATAGTATCAAATGTAACCGTTTGTAGATAAATGTTGCTAAATAATAGAAGCCATGTTAGCATCTTTAAATTCTTAGTAACAGTTTATATAGTTGTCGATTGTAGGCATAAGTACTAGAGTTGTATTGTTTGTAAAAGACCACTCAATCAATCAAAGCATACATGTTGTACATCTTTACTTTCATAGTATTTTTCTTTTCAAGTATAACTTATATTGCTATCAACGGTTGTTCCTAGTATTCATACATTTCAATTTCTTGCATCAAGGACCGTCAACCCTTTGTTGATCAGACTAGTTTGTTAATTCAAAAGGTACTCCGTCCTATCTAGTGAAACATTTTTTGCACGTGTGGTGGGACTCTTGTTTGTTGATCTGACAAAGCTCTGATGGTGAGAACCAGAAATCAACAAGAGATAGACAACGCGGCTGGCAGCCTTAATCCAGTATCGCGAACTAGAAATGAAGTTGCTGCACATTAGGAGTGTTCAGCCACTGGTAGAGCGGGCAAGAGAAGGTTGACGCAAGGGAATTGATCTTCTAAGGCATCTTACTAAAGAGCAGTTTGGGAAAGTAACGCCAAATCCTAGCGCCATGGCAACCATGAGGAGGTTACTTAAGGAGCAGCAGAAAGAGATGACCAATTAAATTGTGAGTCACATGTCAGATGTAGTGAGGCTAATGATCGTCAATACGGTGAATGATGACCTATATAGGGTTAAAGGGACAAAGAGAAGTGAAACGATCCAACATAAGCAAGTTTAAATGTCTATATAGACAATATATCCAAAAGAAACAAGTTACAATTTTCTAAAACTTTCTCGATATAACATATAAAGATCTTACAAGGTGGCAGGGGAGGAGGATATAGTGGAAAGAGATGAGGATTTTGGAGGAAAAAATGCGCAAATTGGTGGAGCGGTTGAAATTCCTCTTGGATTTGCCGTCGAAGATTCGCAAAAACCTGATGAATCTCATTGCGGACCATGTGAATCTCCCCCCAAAGGAAATAAAGCTCAGTAGAGAGAGCTTCTACGAATGTGCAATTGTCATTTTCACCGCCCCCTTCAATTTCGACAATCTGCCTAACACGTCGATGAAGACCGTATTTGAATTCCTAGGTACATATACGTTCGAATTCTTGCGTAACATCAATTGTTTGCTTTGCGTTCTCAATTGACGTGTTCAAATTCCTATCTGTTTGGCATTTTGTTGTGCTGAAAAACATGTACCTACTCATTGAAACCAAAAGTGTCCCAAGTGTTGTACTGGAGAAATTGATCGATAGGGACTTGCTAGAATGGCGATAGAAGCGGAAAAATGACCGAGTGTTGGGAACAATAGGTCGGCAAAGTAAAGCTGATTGCCAGCTCAATGTGATCAACAAGATGCAACTGTCAAGGAAATCATGTCGATGTAATTGAGAAGTGGAGTCGATGTATCCGTTGGGTCATGTAATTGTCAATATAATCGCCGAGTAGTGGACTCGATGTAATCGTCGAGTGGTGGAGTTTTAATAACCGCTTGTAACCGTTGCTTGTGGACTACATATACCCAAGTGTACTCTTTGTAAAGAGACCCCTAATCAACTACGGAATTCAATGTTCTTTTGTAAATTTATCTTCATCTTTACTTTCCTATAATTTACATGGCTATACAAGATTTTCTCCTATATCAATATGTCTAAATTTCTTGTTATTTACGTTCCTGTCCAAAGTCAACAAAGAGCCCTTCACAACCTTTGTCAATTCATGAATCAATCCATCAATATTGGTAAGTGTAAATGATAAATCTATAATGCTTGAGGCATAGGGCAACCCTACTTAAAAGACAAACAAGTTCAACTAGTCGTTACGTACATTTCAAATAGTTAGAAATTCGACCATTGAGATTCTAGGGTGGTTGGCCAAAAAGGCCCGAACAACATGGGCGAACGAAACTCAAATTTGATGGTGGCAGTCTTTTTATTCCCTTTCGGAATCTTGCAAATTACAGACATGATTCCAAATAATTAATATCCCCGTTTCTAATGATGTGAAAACCGGGAAAATTACCAAAAAGTTCCAAAGCTATTGCATTTGTCCAATTCATTCCTAAATATTTTGACAATTTACCTTTGTAGTCATTCTGGCCAATTTTTACCGGAAAACGCTGACGTGGTAGTCCAGTCAGCCTTGGCCGTCCTATGTGGCATACCAGCGTTGAAGTGGACAATTTTTAATTTTTTTTTAAATTTCTCTATTATTTTTTCTGAATTTTTTTCCTTTTTTCCTTTTTTCCGATGGCTAATCTCTAGCGATCGTCGGCCACCACCAATTCCCAAAGAGGGCTAGGTGAGGGCCACCCTCGACGGCCACATGCAAGGGACGACCTTGCTTGGTAGGGCGAGGACGGCCCTCGCCTATGGCTGTCGAGGGCAACCTTGCCCAGGTAAGGCGAAGGTTGCCCTCATCCAGCTCTCTCCAAGCATCACTAGTGGCCGGCCATCGCTTAAGATTTGCCACCAGCAAAAATGAAATAAAAAAATAGAAAAAGGAAAAAAGAAAGAAAAAAGGAAAAAATTTCATAAGAAATGAAAAATTTTAAAAAAATTATCCACGTCAGCTCCGGTACACCACATAAGATGACCAGCACTGACTGGATCGCTATGTTAGTGTTTTTCGATCAACATTGCTTGGAAGGTCTACATTGGCAAATTGTCCAAAGGTCTAAGACTGAATTAACATAACTGAAAAATTTAAGATTGAATTGGCACAAATTCAATAGGTTTAAGACTTTTTGATAAGTTTCAATCAAGAAACTCTCCCTAAACATACTATCACAAAAATTAATAAACTTCCTTGATAAAATTCTAAAGTCATAAGCTCCCTTGCAAGGACGCTCATTTATCCAATTAAATATCACACGCATTCTTTCCATTTTGTTTATGACAAAAGGGGTTAAAGGGTCAAAGAAAAGTGCAAAAATCCACAACATACGCAAGTCTAAATGTCTATGTTAGCGATCTTATGATATCTGTTTGATAAGATAACATATCAATCAAGATATGCACAATCAAAAGAGATATTCTCACAATCATGAGAGATATAGAAAATCATTAGAATTATCCTAAATATCTCTAACAATCTATATAAACAATACATCTAAAAGAAACAAGTTACAATGTTGTCGAAATAACATATAAAGATCTAATACGGTGGTGAGGGAGGAGGATATATATGAAATTAAGAGACAAGGATTTTGGCGGAAGAATAGAGCAAAATTGGTTGAGCGGTTGAAATTCCTCTTGGATTTCCCGTGGAAGATCCGCAAAAACCTGATGCATCCCATTGCAGGCCATGTGAATCTCCCCAAAAGGAAAGAAAGCTCAGGAGGGAGAGCTTCTATCAATGGGTAATTGTCATTTTCACCGACGATCTGTGTAACACGTCGAAGATGATCATATTAGCATTTTTGGGTACCTATATTTTCAAATTGTTTTTCGCATGGTATTCAATTCACATGTTCGAATTCCCTGGTATTTTCTTTTAACTGATTAGCATGTGTCGATTGATAACTAGTATTCTTTTTATGTGATGAGTAAGTCCCAACTAGGAAAACTAATTTTGGACCTTTCAATAGTTGGCAAATTCTCTATGTTGATATTAACTTTTCATACCAATAAAAAAAGTTTGACCCCATGTCTGAAAGAAAAAAATTGACCTTTCTCAATAAAATTTAGCATAAGAAATTACAAGTTTTGCATGGATAGTAACTTTTCATTGCAAGTAATGTTCACGTGTGATAAGCAGTCTTTCGATATATATCGAAAGAAATACGCATACACGTCAGCTAACTTTTCATTGGGTGGAAAAAGTTTGATTCAAACTCGGGGTTCTAATTGGATAAAGTTATCCGAGCTTTGGTTCGACGACATATAAAAGTTGTGCTGGATCCGACAGAGCGGTTGGACTGTCGTGAAGCTAACGAAACCAACGTAACAAACGTAAGAGCCGTGACTTCGAAAAAGAACGCCAACTTTTGTTTTCGCAAACCCATCTTCGCGGGCGGGTGAATGAAACGCCCCCTGCCACCGCGGGGAAAAAGATAAAACAGTAGTGACCGCAGACCAAAACCCCAAAACTGGCGAAATTCAAGCACCTCGCTCTCCTCGGCGCTGGGTAAGTTTGTGATTTGGTCGCTCTTCCCTGCTCTTCAGGGTTTCGCGCCGCATGAGAAATTTCGCTTCCCTCTGCTTCTCTCTCGACTTCGTTTGTGATTTGGTCGCTCTTCCCTCTTCAGGTGTCGCGCTCCGCGTGAGAAATCTCGCCTCTTCTTCTTCGTTCTACCACCGGGTATGTCTCTCTCTCTCTCAACTTTTTGTATGTGAATATGAGCGACGATAGTTGGTTGAGGAATTCTGGGGGTTTCAATTATTTCAACCCCTTTCCCTCAATGTTGTAGTCATGCTGTTTCTGAGTGGTCAGTTTCAATTCTAGATACTCTGTATTGCTCTCAGGAAGCAAGCTAGTGTGAGCGTTAAATTAAATTTATGGATCTAATTCTAATTTTCTTTCCTATGCTTATTGTTTGGGTATAAGTACCCCTTAATTTTAACAATTATTGAGTGAAGATGAAGCCTTTTACTAATTTCTCTATTCATCTCTCTTGAAGATCCCGGAATATATATATATATATATATATATATAGGTAACGATTCTCATTGAATTTGATCTCAATAGAATGAATTTCGTTATTCGTTCAAGATACTTAAACTTTTATCTTCGTTCAATTGAAGGTCAACTTAAATATCAGTGTTATGAATTGGAGCTCTCATAACAATGTGTGTATATATATTCATAGGGGAAGAAAATGCTTCCTTGAGTCTTGTCAATCCACCGACAATGCTGGTGAAACCCCCCTTGCTTTGATGAAGGAGGGACATTAGTGTGAATGTCAATTGCCAGGGGTTTAATTTATTGCTTGGCGAAGATGTTCAGAAATATGTAGGCGCTAAACCTTAAAACCTATGACCATAGACTATAATTCATGGTTTATAGTTCTCACTGATGTCAATTATGTGACTATTGAAAATTTCATTCACTGTGTAATTCAGTCTTCGTTTGTGTGTACAGGCCATGGAAGTTGACATGGTTAGAAAGAGAGATCGATTTTGGGAATATGCTGAGCATTTGGATGGCAGATTTAAGTGCAAGTTTTGCGACAAAATATTTGCCGGTGGTGTTCCAAGAGTTAAATCACATTTATCTGGAATTAAAGGCGGTGGTATAGACATATGCACCAAGGTGCCCGAAGATGTTCGAGTTGCCGTTGCTGAAGCAATTTCTGGTTCTGCTAAAAGAGCCAAGGCTGAAGCCTCTTCAGGTAAGACCGAAGAGACTTCGCCCAAAATTCTTATCAGTAATGAAAGTGTTATGCTGGATAAATTGCTCGCTAAGTTTATCCTCTTGAATGATGTTGATGTCAATATTGTGCGGAGGCCTTCCTTCATTGACTTTGTGAATGGCTTGGCTGAACATGGTTCCCATTATAAGTTGCCCTGTTGTTCAGTGGTCAAAGCAGAGTTAGTGCCTGATTTGGAAAAGGAAATTGGAGAGTATGTGGCAAATGTGAAGAAATCATGGGATAAAACTGGCTGCACAATCATGTTCGATATTTGGTGTGATAAGGAGAGATCCTTCATTAATATCTTTGCCCATTCTATTGAAGGGATGGTACTGTTGAATGCGTTGAATATCCACAATAATGAGTTAACAAGTGTTTTGCTGCGTGAGATTGTATATTTTGTCACTCAAAAAATAGGGGCCGACAACATCGTGCAGTGTATAACCAGCAGTGTTCAAGTAGAAGGGTTATTTAAAATTATGCCAAATGACAACCATTCCCATGTGTACGAGACTAATTGTGTTGCCCAAGAAATACATTTACTGTTTGAGGATATTTACAATGGAATCGAATGGGTTCGAAAGACATTTGATCAAGCAAGAGCGGTTGTCATTGAGATTAACAAGCACAATGGCATCTTATCATCGATGAAGCAGGTCACAAACAACCGGGAGTTGAAACAATCATCAAGAACAAAATTTTACTCAAGCTATTATATGCTCCAATCAATCATGGGGGTTGAAAGTGAGCTGCAATTGCTTGTTTCATCATCTGAGTGGCTTTCATCGAGCTTTGAGAAGCATGAATCGGGCGAAGAAGTGGGCAAACTCATTTGCAGTTCTGAGTTTTGGATTGAAGGGAAAGAAGTCTTGCATGCTCTAAAATCGATATTTCAAGTACTTCGTCTTGTTGATAGCTACGGCGCTACTTCTGGGTTCTTGTATGCAGCTGTGAAAATGGCAGATGAGGCTATTAAAAAAATATATGAGACGAATGTACAAAAGTATCAGAGGTTATGGGATATTTTCCAGCTACGGCAGAGTCGTATCATTCATCCAATACATGCTGCTGCAGCTTTTCTTAACCCTGCTTACATGTGTAGCGAGAAGTTTATAGAGAATAATGCAATGAAACAGGGCATCTATTTCATATTGGAAAAATTGGTAGCTGGTGAAGAAAAGGAAAAATTTTTGCAAGATATGCTGCTCTATTGTAAGAAAGTGCCAGAGTTGTTCACTTGTTCAGCAATGACAATGTTACGAACATCTCACCCTTGTAAGCATCTATTCTTTAAACCAATTAACCACATTGATTTAATTTCATATTTTATTTGTTTTCGATGTGTAAATTGTATATTGATAGTTGTTGCGTATAAAGGTGACTGGTGGGACTATTGTGGCGATGCCCTTCCTGTATTAAAGAAGTTTGCAATTCGAATCCTAAGCCAACGCTGCAGCACTTTGTCCTGCAGGCAGAGTTTGAGTGCATTTGAAACTGCTCAGGTCGAGAAGATGGAGCCATTGATGCCTGCAGTGAAGGACAATTATCTATATTTGAGGATAAATGCGTTACTGATGGAGAACTTTAACACAATGAAAGGCAAAATTAGGAAGCCACTTGATCTTGAGAAACTCGGTGAACTTCCTGATTGTACAGAGTTTATCAATGAGAATTTTAGCCGTGATCTATTGAACGCAACAAAAGTTCCTTTATCAGATGGAAAGCTAAATTGTTGGTAAGAATCTTTGTTGAGACACTTAAGAGATGATCGCCATTTAAATGCATGCCAAGCTGATTTGTCACCAACAACGTGGGGTGATTTACTAGAATTAGAATCAAATATGATGGTAGTGAATGATAATGTCACTGAGACGTGTTTTTGCTTTTGTTGTTGATCTTCCACGAGAATTTACCTTAAGTTTATCTGCAACACTGTTTGAAATAGTGAATTCCTTCCGAGTTTATTTCTATGTATTGAAGACAGAGACAGGGACTGCATCATTTCTTTTGGTCATGAGTATTGGTATATGTGCTTCTTTTTCATACTTTAAAAGACTAAGTGAGATCAATGTGTTCAAGCTAGTGATTGCTAAAAGGCCGTAGGTTTTGATTGTCATTTGATTCCAATATTATGGTAATGCGAATGACCTCCTAGAATGATTTCATATGTTGGATTTGGCGCTCAGCATGTTTTTTCTTTTGTACGACTACGGTTGGCAAGAGGGCTGTCCTCATGTTGGGTGTAATAGGCACTATATTCTGCAGTGCATATTTCTCTTTAGTGAATTATTAAATTCGTATTTCTATTGACAGGTCTGCATCAATGAGAAAAGATGGTGAGAGTGAAAAGCATTTACGTCTTCATTTTATAACTAAACTACCATCGAGCCTAGTTAAAGGTAATGAGGTTGAGGGTGAGAGAGGAGCTCCTATTCATGTCATCTTGGTAGATTCCAGTACAGGTAGTGTCGTGCAATCTGGACCCTCATCAGTGCTGAAGTTGATGGTGACGGTGATTGGAGGTGACTTCGATGAAGAAGCTGGTAAAGATTGGACTAGAGAGTACTTTGGGAGCAATGAAATAAGGGGGCGAGAGGGGAAGATACCACTCTTGACTGGTGATCTCTCTATGATCCTCGATAGAGGCATGGGAACATTGGGTGCTATCACTTTTAATGACATATCGAGCTGGACAAGAAGTGGAAAATTCAGGCTTGGAGTCAAAACTGCCTTAAGTTATTGTGAAGGAATCCGTGTCCATGAGGGCACATCTAATGCCTTCGCTGTGGAAGATGGTAAGTCATTTAAGTTTAGACGCTTGATGACATTTTACGCTTTTCTATTCTCTTTTCTTGGCCTTCGCTGTTGAAGGTGGTAACTCATGATTCAGGTTTAGACACTTGATGACAATCACTTTCTATGTTCTTTTTTCTTGACATGGGACAACTGTAACCACTCAATAAGATACAAAGACTAGGCTAAGAGACTTGCAACAGCATTATGTTGTTTAATCAGAATGTGGTATGCTCAGATATTTTATAAAAAATCGTGGAGCAGAGCAGACTCTGCAGTTGTCTGAATTTCAGGTTTGGCTGCTGTTTACAGAATTCATAATCCTAGAATAGAGTATGAATGAAAGAAACAACAAACAAATGAGCAGAAATGGCTTGCCTGTCTGAATTTCCCAATTCTGTGAAGTTGAACTCGTGAAACCTACTTGTTGCAAACAAAATAGATTTGGAGTTTCAAGTATGCTTTCTCAATCAGTTGAGTTAGCAATAACTTTTGAAAATGTAATCACTTTGACAGCATTCGTGGCCATTTGAATGATGGTGACTTTTGCTTATAGAGGAAGCTGTCTTTTGAGCTCATCTGAGATTTGTAGTAAGCTTTAATTATCGTTTTCAGCTCGTTAGATATGTTAAGATATATGTACGGATTTGATTTTATTAGAAATAGAGAATGTGGTATTCAACTTCGAAATATGCTTAGTTGTATCAATATGATAATGACTCACCTAAATCAATGTCAATGTGTTTTAAATGTGGCCCGTGTTTGCTTTGCATCACCAAATATTATTTCTCCAATCTTATTTTCTTTGTTCATTGCTCACATAACTTTGAATGAGAAATAGTTTGGAAACTTCTGCAGCCAACACTGGGAAAAGTAGGATCGAATCATTGGTTGAACCATCATCAATGGAAGTCACAAAGCAATTGTTGTCATCAAGGCCACATTGCCAAACTGGGAATGCGTCTCCTGTGGTGAGCAGGAGTTTCGGTGATGCGCAAGAAGCTGCTTGCAGCAGAGTAAATGATGCAGTTTCAGTCGCTCCTGGTACTTCTTGCCTTAATACAAAAAGTACATTTCTATTTTTTAATTTACAAATTTGCTTTTTAAACCCAACTGAAAGGGCTTCAAAAATACCCTCTGTCTGAAAGCCCTAATTGTATTCTGAGACCTAACAAGCAATCCCATTTAATGGCAAAGAAGTGCCTGTGTTTTGGGATAGCATGCCTACCTCAAATATCGTTAGTCTTCCTCTTAGCCTCCCAAGCCATCATTGACTGTCTTGAATTAAAATTTAACGAGGTTAATGTATGCTTAGCTGTGGGCTTGTACTAATTTACTTTGATGCAAGATGTAAGATGTAATGATTTTCCTGAAGAATAACCCAGTCAAGTTTATCTGTCAACCGCTTTTTATGACCAAGCATTCAATTGATTAGAATAATTTTTTTTTGCCACAACGGAAAAGGTTTAAAACAAGAATTAACGGTATGGCACTTCCCCATGGCCATGCCTCTCCTTCAGCCCATCCTCAAATCTCATTCTGATCTGGGTATACTTCACCATTCCTTGAAAAAGTAACTGATGCGCAAAACCATACGCACAAAGAAGAAAGTCTGGAGGGAAACTATACAACTTATGAGATCGCCTGGAAGTAGAAACGAATACTTAGTTTGCCACTGTGATAGTTCACAATAGCACTAAGCAAATATTTAACTAAAACATGATACTTAGCACGAGGACAAAGATGATGAAATACAGAACTGCTGATATGTTTCACAACAAAGATGCATTACGAACTACTCTATCCTCAGCTATAAAATTGGGAGAAATAACACCAGAACAAATGTTCTCAAGCCCTAGCCTTTGTAAGTTAGAGGGCAATAAAAGCTAAAACTTTTTGGATTTTCTTTATGAATAATGATAGGTATGCGAAGATGTGAGAAGAACTGCAGGCTGAGTTGTATCAATGACTTGAAGCCTGACTCGAATAGACCAGCATTTTCTCTGGAAGAAGAGAACCTCATCTTTCAGCTTCATGCTCTTCTTGGCAACAGGTGCATAATATCATTCCATTGTAAATTCCCTCTCTTTTTGAGGGGCTTTCTGAGAATTTCATTGTGGGACAAACTAAATCCAACTCATGCATGTGCAATTCATTGTGTTTTGATGTCATCCAGATGGTCTGAGATCGCAGCTCGGTTACCAGGAAGGACTGACAAAGAGATAAAAGATTTTCTGGACCTCTTCCCTCAAAAAGAAGCTGAGGCAAAGAGATGATCCGTTTGTTTATGCATTCATAGCCAGTATGTCGACATCCCGAGCTAATATCCCCTGCACATTATCTGTTCTTCGGGTTGGGATATTTATGTCACTCTTTCATTTAAGCAAGAGCAAGCCTAGATATCTATAAAGAGTACGATGGAGAGCAGACCATTGTATTGCCATTGTCAATTAAGAGGTTGGACTCTCTCCGGTATGGAACAATGAACTGCAGAGATATTGAGTAATTTTTGTCTGGTAAACACAATCGTTATCCTTCATCTTTCTCACACCCCCTACCAAATTGGATATGATTAAACTCACCCAGATCATTTGAGAAATCAGACTTTCATCATGTACAAGTTGAAGATACTCCATCAACACCGGTAGCTTAATGGAAGGACACAATACGGTTCCTATTGTTTACAAGGCGAACATTTTCCGGAAGAAGTCATTCGGCGGTGTATCTGAAACCAGCATCAATTCCTCTGAACCCTTAATAGTTATATCTCCATTATCATCAATAATCCTATGATAATCAGTAATCACCCTCAACGGCCTCATCTCTACCTTTAGTATGGACAACGGGCCCCTCCGACACCAGTCCAAAAATTTTAGCCACATCCGCTGACGGGATTTGCAATCTACTCTATGCATGAGCGCTGATCAATACTTTTTTTTTATTTTTATCAACCCATGAGATAAATCAGCATTCAAATTCCCAGACCGTAGGCATAAAAGCCCTCCAAAGCCCACTTCTCTGATTGCTTTTCTTTTTAGCTGGTGACTTGGCAAATCGCTCTAGACTGCAACGTGGTGAAAAACTTTTCACTTGCCCGCATCGTACGGTCATGATTATATGTAGTTCTAACCATTCGTCTGGATCATCACGATCCAGATGGGGTTTGGTCAATTAGCGAAACAAGATTGGATCCTTACCACGTGTATAGCTGTATGAACTGATAAAAAACAAATGTGCGGTTGGAGGCAGCGGCATATCATTGTATCTACAATCGACGGACGGATCAAAGGCAGGGAGGTTGAGTCGAAATCACGCTACCCTGTCATTAGGCCCTTCAAATGGGTGTGTTGGGTTGTAAATAGTGTGACCCAAAATTGATCAATTTAAACTGTTTTGATCCATTTATTTATAATGCAAACTTTTCGACTCATACATTACCCGTCTCCATATTCATTTTTAGCATTTTTTTTCTCCTTATATTACTGCCTTTGAAGAATGGATGGCTTCATAGACCTACTGGTCAAGTTAGTGAGAGAGATTGAGGGTCAGGTTGTGGTTGGGGGTGTGAAGATGGCGGCGAAAGTTCAGCCCGAGCCATCGACAAATCATGAAGTGGGTTCGGGCTTTAGTTTTGGGTTAAATATAAATGAGATTTTAATATATTGGTTAACGTCCGTTTAATAATACATTATTTGATGTGATGTTTTTGGGTTTTAATTACCGACTATGCAGTTCTAATATCCATGCAGAAGTGTACATATATAAAGTAATGAAGTCAATAATCATAATGATGAAATTATAAAAAGTAAAGCAAATGTAGAAAAGGAAACAACTTGAGCTGTATCGAGAAAAGTTGATACAAGACCTTGTAAAAAAGAAACTAACCTAGCGAATTTTTCATATTACTTTCACTGTGTTTTCAATTTTACAAGAAATTACAAAATTTGTCATTACTGTGCCCTTAACAATCAAAAGAAGCTGTCACTCTCACTTGCCCCCACCCAATTCTGTTAGGAAAATTATCCAAAAAGTCTTAAACCTAAATTCAGTTTTAAATCTTTTCATTTTGCCAATTGAGTCCTAAACATTTTCACTTCTTACAAATTGAGTCCATTCGGCTAATTTTAATTGGAAATCACTGACGTGGATGCCGGCCGGCCACGTAGTGCTGATGTGGATATTTTTAAAGAATATTTTAATAATTTTTTGAAATTTTTATGGTTTTCTTCTTTTTTTTCCTTTTCTCCTTTTTTTTTGGTTTTGGAGTTATAGCCGACGAGGGTGGCCGGCTGACCCTCGCCAAATCTTGCTAGGTGAGGATTCGAACGCCCTCGTGTTGGCTAGCAAGGGCGTCGCGTAGAGCCGATGAGGGTCGGCTGGCCATAACTCCAAAACCCCAAGAATTAAAAAAAAAAGAAAATGAAAAAAAAGAAAAAATTCATAAAAATTCAGAAAATTACTAAAATATTATTTAAAATTATTCATGTCAGCGCCACCTGTCAACCAGCGTCCACGATTTCCTGTCAAAATTGGCCGGATGGACTCAATTTAGCAAAAGTGAAAAATGTTTACGATTCAATTAGCGAAATCGAAGCTTTTTAAGATCGAATTAAGAAAATATGCATAGGTTTAAGACTCTTTTTGGACAATTTTCCCCATTCTTTATCTCTCCACCTCCCATCACTATCTCTCTTAAAGCTCTATAACGGATGAAGAAAACCGGCACAAGGTCGCAGATCTAGTCAAAGAGCTCGTGCTCCGCTTGCTCACCCAGAACCCCAACTACCCGTCGCTCACGAATTGCTCCGTTTCCAGAGCTCGCTCCGCTACATGTTCCGCATCCTCTCTGGCCGGCTCACCCCCTCAGTCACCCACGATGTTGCCACCCTCACTGAGTCGATCAAGGGCCGGCCGCCGCCCAAGGTAAGTCCTCTCAAGCCCTCAGCTTCGCCGATCTGTACGCCAAATTCGCCTCCAAGACCAGCCCCGGAAGCATCAACAACAAGTGGGCGGTTCTTTATTTGCTCAAATTCAGGGCCGAAGATTGGAACAGCGCGAACAACGTGCTTGATTTCTCGGGGTCGTTGCCTAATTTGGATTCGCTTGAGGTTGAAGAACAGAAAAAGAAGATGAATGGGTTAAGTGAACCCATTTACAACAGGAAAATTGTCTAAAAAAAAATCTTAAACCTATTACACTTTTATTAATTCAATCCTAAACATTTCAATTTTATAATTTTTATTTGGTCATAAAAAGCACTTTTATTTAATTATAAGAGGTTCGAGAACACATTCCATGAGCTTCAAAACACAATATATCCCAAAGACCCGGGAGGGAATAAAGAACCCAATTACTTAATAGTTTATTTTTTCTTTGGGCTTTAACAATCCAATTAGCCACCCTATTTGCTTCTCTACTAATATGGGCCATGTTTAGCTTCGAATAGGGCCTGCGAAGTTGATGGGCTTTGCTGATAAACAAATGGAGTTCTCAGTTGATCTGAGCTTAATCTTCAAGTCCACGTAGTAGATCAAAATGGTCTGTTTCAAAATTGCTTGCAAAGGACAATTTTGCCAATTGAGTTTTAAATTTTTTTACGTTTTATCAATTGAGTCCATCCGTCTAATTTTAACCTAAAATTGCTAACGTGGATGCCGGTAGTGCCATGTAGGACGACCGACGCTGAAGTGGACAAATTTTCATAATTTTTAAAAAAAATTATACTTTAAAATAATGTTTATTTATTCTTTATTTCTTTTCCTTTTATTTTCCATCAAGTTTGGCGAGGGTCGGTAGATGACCCTCGCCTAGACCTCGCGAGGGCTTCATGGCCGTTGCGAGGTCTAAGCAAGGGCTACGACTTGCTTGCGACCAGCGAGCTTGGAAGAAGAAAAAGAAAAAGAAAGAAAAAAAAAGAAAAAAAAATAATTCAAAAATTCAAAAAAGTTAAAATATTATTAAAAATTATCCACGTCAGCGCTGGCTATGCCACCTAAGAAGGCCAGTGTCCATGTTAGCGATTTAAAGCTAAAATTGATCGAATAGACTAAACTGGCAAAATGTGAAAAATGTTTATGACTCAATTGATAATATTGATATGCTTAAAACTGAATGGACAAAATTACAATAAGTTTAGGACTTTTTGGAAAATTTTCCCAAATCCAATTTTTTCATCATTTTTATTTTGTAAACCCATTATGATCTCCAGTTTGACCCATATAAATAATTTTGGGTTATTAAATAGGTTTTGAACCCATTTTAATAGGTCTACCTATCGTAATGCAGCCATTACTCTCTAAACATTCCCCTAAATTAACTCAATAATAGCAAAATCAAATATCACAAAACTACATATCATACCAACATAGCAAACTGGTTCCTCGTAAGCAATAACATCTACCCTGTCGTGATGGAGGGTCCAGATCATGTACGTTGGATCCAACGGCGGAGTGGCGCTCATGGATTAAACCATCGGGAATTCCCTTCGGGAGTGCGACTGGCAACCGCCGATCGCCTGAATTTCCTTTTTAAGCGCTCGAATTCCATTTATCTTATATGACGTTCGAACCGCCAAGTACTTGGAGATTTAAAAAGAATATTTGTGAGATTAATAAATAGACACAGACCAGAGAAATAGATTAAACAATAGAGAAAGTGAAAAGGAGGAAAAATTTAAACAAAATAATGTACAACGTCCTCATTGGCTTACTAATGTGGTTGAATTTTTCTGCAAGTTAGAAGACACGTATGTGTTAGAGCAATTAAATATTAAATCACGCATTTATTTAAAAGCTTAAATTTTTATAATCATTGATATGGTCTCACAAAATCTCACATAGTATCAGAGCAGGAGGTTTCGAGTTTAAATTTTTCTAGACCCTTATTTGCCTCTCTAATGAAATATTTCATCGTTTAGTACTAGGCAAAAAGATCATATTAAACTTGAGGAGAAATATTAGAGTACAAAATATTAAATCATGCCTCCCAGTATGCAAGCAACATATATACTATAATTTTCGAGGGAAATCATCTCGACAATGCCAATTGAATAGATGAGTGACGATGTATGCATCGGAACACGAAATTAAGCATGATGAGGCCCGTGAATATGTACCGCACTTGCCATTGATAGGAAAGTTTGAGCGACAGGACAATCTGACATTTACGAACTTTTTCCATGGTCGCAAAAACTATAAGTTTTTTGGCTAAAGCAAAAACTACTCGTTGACTTAAGTTAAATCTTGTCTCAGCGGCCAAGCTATCTTGTGGTATCGTG